GCCTTCTACAGCCACCGGGACAACAGACAGTGCTGCTCTTTGTCCCCACACTTGTAGTCATACACAAACAGATTTTAACCGTTTGACCTCTTTGCGTCTCACAGTATAATGAAGAGCTAATTTATCTCAGCCAAGGGGTAATATTCACCTATCCGTGAGGGAGGAAAGAGTGAGCGTCCTTGGCTGGGTTTCAGTTCAAAAAGTTAACACCCTCCACTCTGTCAACATTAATTTCTTGTCACAGATCTGTAAGGATGGATGAATGTGATGATACAGCTCATCCCCACATCTGTGGGAAGGGTGTGGAAATCCGTGATTCCGTGACGGTTCCCTGATTATTGCTGTTATGTTACATTTATCAGGTTTCGAGTTTTCAGCTCTGTAAGGTTATAAAACCCAGAAATATGTTTTCACAAACACGTGAGGGGAAAGTGAGTGAAATATTTGGACACACTGATGTTTGACTGTGTTTTTTATGAGACTTTTACCTTGCTTTTTTTTTTCTTTTCTTTAGCATCCCCACATTTCTACCTTCCAAATGTATCTGTGCAGAGAAGTCAGGACAAAGCCATTTTTTATTTTCATTTCAGTGTGACCATAACTCTTCCTTAGATTTTTAGTCTGCAGCCGTGTCGGAGAACTTTACAGTCAACACCGTATCTGGAAAGATAAAGTTCCTTAACAGAGGCATGCAAAGAAAGTGCACAAAAATGACCAGGCCTCAGACCACAGGTTTCAAATGAGCTTCATGAAGGTTAATTTTCAACCATGAACTAGTTTTAATAAATTGCCTGCCTACATACTTTTGACTGTACTGTATTCATTTTTAGCCGTGCCTGCTGTGTGTCTATCCATCTGTCCACCACTTTGGTCCAGACTCAGAAATCAAGGTCCCCAGAGGATAAATTCTAATGTCTACTCTAAATCCTTAGTTTGTACTGAAACCAGACTTTGTCCTACAGTTTTCTGATTCCTGTCTGTCTGATATCATCACACACACACACCCTCCCCCACTTTTGTTGCCACGACAGCAGGGATTACCCATAACAACAGCCAAAAAAACTATTTGAGAAAGAGAGAAGTCGTGCTCTGCTCCCTCTGTGCAGATCTTGAGGGAGCGTGTCAGACGGGCCAGCCCAGTGGAAAACTTTACTCAATTTAACATGGACTCATGTTGCTGGAAAAAGCTCCTCCCTCAGTTATGACTGTCCCGTGCACTGGGGAAACTTTTACTCGGCAAAGCACATGAACAGAATCAAACATATAGTTGTTTGACATTTTACATTATTTCATAAGAAAGAACTGCTTCCATGTGCTTTACTTTCTCCCCACAGACGGGACTTTGATCGCAGTAATTAGTGATGTCGCGGAAACATTCTTTGCGGTTGATCTTGATTGGTCCCATATGTGATTCCAGCTTTATTTGGAAGCACCAGCCTCGAGCTGTGAGTGACTTAGAAACATTTAGCATTTTCAGCACTTCTCTCAGTATGAAAAGCTGTGCCTACATCCTGTACCTACAGCAGTTACTCCTCTGCAACTGGTAAAGTAACTGCCACACAAGTACAGTATTTTCCCTGTTCCCAGTCACACAGTGCCATGCAAATCCCAGCAAGAGAGAAGACAAACAACAATTCATCCATCCATTGTTGGCCAATCGTCATCAGACGTCCCACACAGCCCGGCAAGTCTCAGCACGGCAAAGAGGGTGTGAGGGGGAAGAGTGAGGCAACTATATAACTCAAACACTGGGGTTACTATGAAACTATGCTACTTAAGTTTCCCTGTATATTATTAGTCAGTCAGTGTTTTTAACCAGTGGGCCTGTAGCATGTGCAAAAAAACAACAACTATTTATCTGCCAAGGCACTTCAAAAGGTTTTTCAGATTAACACTGGCTTAATTGACGGCTCGTGTTATACTGCCTGTGTTTGGGCCAACTGGAAAAGACACACACCTCCTATTGCTGGCTAACCTGCAGCCTCACTGAACAGACCTATTTCCTAGAAAGTCTTCATTCAGACAAGAGGACGATCTCGCTGCGATTCAGTAAGGTGAGGCACACAGCTTCTCTTTCACCTCTGCCATCCCTCTCTGTTGCACAACACATGAAGACAAAGTTAACAAGGGGCTCGATCTCAGGAGCGGCACCGCACTTACTTGTCTTTCCCAATGGTCTCATAGTCTTTCACAATCACGTCTATGTAGGAGCTCGAGTCCAGTGCAGTGCCCTTCAGATCAAACTCAAGCACCTGCAAGACAAGATGAGGGACACACAGTCCATCAACTGAATGCATCAAATGCTGATTTACCTACTCAGCCGGTAACATGCAAAACACCATAAATAATTATATCAGACTCGTGGACTAATCTAATCATTCACACATTTGCATAATCAGTTGACATGCTAAATGCATACAGTGTGGGCATGTGATGTTTGCACCAGAGTGTGATGTGATGTCTACTACTGTATGTAAAGGGAGCATACCTTGTAATCAATCAAGTCCTGCTTTCTTCAGCAGCTTATCTAAACTACCTTTGATTAAATGTCAAACTAAAAGTGTGTGTGTGTGTGAGTGTGTGTGTGTGTGAGTGTGTGTGTGTGTGAGTGTGTGTGTGTGTGTGTGTGTGTGTGTGTGTGCAAGTTACCTCATTCCACACAGGATTCACCTCACTGTCAATTGATTTTGTTTTCTTCTTCTCATCTGAAAGGAAAGTGAAATATTCTTTTTGTGAATATTTATAAAAGGACACGCGGTGCAACCAACCCAAGAATATACCTGAAATCCTTCTACCCCCTTGTTTGCTGACAAAGTTAAAGAAAGTTATTGATAAGTGATTGCTGAATTAAATATTGATCTAGTCAAGCATGTTTCTGCATGCCACAGGGCAAGAATGATATCAATGTCAATGGGCAACAGATCGTTCCTTTACATGTTAGCAGGGAAAGAGAAGCTGCCACACCTGTAGACACCAGCACAAACAAAACAGCTGAGGCCAACTAGAGCTGATTGCCACTCAACCGTTCCTCGTCTGATGCACACACTGTGACTGATATGATTTTAATTCAGTAGCTCAAGGCCAATTCCCCTATAGTCCTAACTTGTCGTTTCCCTTCATCACAGCTCATACCACCACATCCCATGGTTCGCTGCCAGCTGTCTTTGCATCTGGAATTGTTGTGACATGTTGGGAAAGTCTCCAGTGGTGCAACAGAGTGCATTTAGGAAGACTACACTGACACTTAAAGTAAACGGACTATTAGGCATCCAGTTAATGTACGAGTAGCTGAAGAGGAGCACTACTTTATCATTTATTTATTGCAATGGCTAACACATAAAAATCAGAGTGACGTCATGCTACAAAGTATATTCAGTGAAGTGATATGAACTCACCATTTAGTTCCAAAGACAAAGTGATTTTACAAGCAGGTTAAAACTTTAGAAGACTTTTTGAAAAGACGCTTACCTTTAAAAATCACAGAGGTGATTGGATCAGGACTCCCAACCTTCTTTTTAGGCAGACCTTTGGCCGACTCTACAACAACACGCAACATGGCAACAACGGGTAAAAATAAAATAAAATAAAAGACTAAAATCAGTGACTCTGAGGAATTGAAAAAAAAAGGACTGCCGTGCTCTTTACATCCTCACTGCCCCATCACTGAGGCAGACAGAGCTGGGCTGAGGAAGTGTAAGTCCAAGTGGAGGGTAAAGCCGGAGGGCGGGTCACGGGTGTGTAATTATTATTAAGTGGAGGCGAATGAGCTCAATGTTGCTGCTGCTGCTGCTGCGATTCACTGAATGAAGATAGTTACACACCAACTGCAGCTGGCTCAGGCTACTTCCTGGAGTAAAAAATGCGTGTTTCAGGCCAGGAAATCATAAACATTTTATATCCATATCTGCTTGTTGCTGTCAAAAAAGAAAGAAATAAAATAAAATAAAAAAATCAGCTCCTCGGGCTACACACTCTTCGTGTTTTGGTAAAGTCTTTCGCTGTGGCTCCATCTAGTGGCTGTACAGAGCAATAACAGAGCGAGCCGCAGACAGCTCAGGGCCACTCCTAGGGTTTTTTTCTTTGTTTTTTTTTCCAGCCAAACGCAAACAGAATAAATAAGCATTATTTGTGAAATGTGATCTTATATTATCCTACACTATATTAATGCTTCTCCTCAAGTCAGCAGCTCTGTTTCATTCTTATTTTTTTGCGAGGTAGTAAGTGACAGTGAAGACAGAAGACCTGTGATTTGTCTGTATAATATATTCTGAAACTGTCATCATTTTTTATTGCTGTTTGATTGCATCTTTGTAACTCTGAATAGCAGCTGAAAACTCGCTGTGGATTTGTTCAAAATACATTTCATATTAAATGTACCTTGTGGTATCGGCAATTACTTTCCATTTAAGTTTCCAGTTTGAGATGTCTGAAGTCACCTTAAAAGACCCATTGACAGACATCACTGCAGGCCACTGCATCGCACAGCAGATGAATAATGTAGATATTTGAGCTGGTTGTGGTACAGCTTACTGGTGTGTGTAGGTCTAATATTAGACCAGGTAAAAAGAATTGCCCAGCAGACTAGACTCTACAGGGACTTGGATGCCTTCATTAAACATAGTAGGAGGCCACTCTGGATAGCTCATGCTCGCTGAAGTGGTAAGCAAAACTGCTGCGGGTTGCCTGGCAATAATTAAACTGCATTAGTTATAGATGTCTGCGAGGCTGCAAGAACATGACAAAGTGACTTGGTTCTTTTACTCTTTTTGACTTAAAATGCGTTTGCACAGGAGGTAGGCTAATTTATTATTTAATTTCCATGCAGTCCTCATTATGTCAGAGTTGCTGACCTGTCCTTGTGCAAAAATTACCAATGTTAACACTCTGGGTCCTGGCTAACTTTGCCTCCCTAAATGATTAACCCACTGGGGGCTTGTCTGTGGGGTTTGCGGCTCTGTTACCCTCAGCAGACTTGCAGCTATTTTGGAAACTCCCATCTCTCCATGGTCTTCTCTTCAGTGATGTGTTTACTTTCTTTTTTCGGTGTGGTCAAACACTTGTGACAAATGGCTTTTTGATCCATGGATGTGGACATTCCTTTCCTGTCCGTACACAAGACGTTCTGTGTGAATAAATTGGGTTTGCATGAAAAGACGGAGTAACGGGTGGAAACAAAGGCTCTGCATGTTTTGACTCAGAGCACGGTGATGATCTCAGACTGGTCTCAGCGCTTTCAAAGGGAGCTTGTGGCTGCTGCATCTTTGTTTGTCGGTAGGCGATGGAGCTGAAGAACATGACACTGACGCTGGATTGAATGTGGGTTAAAAATTCAACAGAAAAAGATGGAGCAGTATCTGGCGTTCAAAGAATTTAAAGAGGGGTTCAGATAATGAATCTCAAGTGATCAAAATGGATACTTTAAGAAACAAGAAAAAACCATGGGTGCTTTATGAGACAGAGGTGCCACACAGCAGGTTTGGGTGAGTTTTCCGTACTTAATTATTATCTATTTCATCATGATAATATATATATATATGTAGTCCATGGCCTCTGACCCTCACCTGAAATATCCTTCTGTCAAACAAAAATCTGAACTCCTAGTAAAAAAGAAAGGTTGCTTTAAAGCTTCATTCTTCCATCCTCCCATCTATCCATTCTTCCATCTACCTACCTCTAGTAAAGCAACTTATGTCAAAAGATGAAGTTGTACATTAGCATCACAGTCTGTCCCTAGGAGTTTTTAATTCACATATTTTCTTTTATACTTTCTTTCCTCCCCACGCAGCTTCACCACAAACTCTTTCAGCTTTTTAAACCCCCTTTTCAGTAACCCACTACGCGTTTATTACTTAATTATTTTATGGTTCCATTGATTGATTGTGAGAAATGCGTATGATGTAAAGGACCACTCATGCATGTCCTGATGGACCTGTACAAGAGTTCACAATGCTGAGACATGTGACGTATTGTTTAAGCCTGTAGTCTCCCCGAGCAACAGGGCCACACAGGAGCTGCTGGTGGTGAGTAACACTTTGATCTTTCAAACACAACCCCCAAACCAAACACATTCCCCCATCACTTACTCCCCGTCTGCAGCATTCTCTGAGCCCAAGAACTAAGACCCACTATTCACTTTACCTATATTCCTACCACCTTATTGTGCATTACATGAGACTTGATAATGTGATTTTAAACTTTTGTTGGGCTCAGTAATGTGTTGTCTCGACTCTGCCACTTGGGAGCGCTGCATTCATTCTGCAGCAAGCCTTTCACCAGCGACGGGAGGGAATGAATAAACAGTTGCAACTCACTAGCAAAGATCAAAATAGGTGTTGTGAAGACACCAAATTGTCAACAGTCCACCTATATTGTCTGCACTTATTCCTTAATGCTAATGTACTGCATGTTTTGATCCAGCTGTATGGCAGCATGTGTACACCCAATCCACCTGAGGAGCAGACTCAGGGGCTGTAGTCCCAAAACGAAGAGTAGCTCCCAACTTAAGAGAAACTCTTACAACATTTTAGTGGTAGCAACAACTTGAAACCAATTTCTGCACAAATTAACCCTGTCCTTTATCTGATCATTGCTGCACCCTCCCTTCTGCAGTGATCCGGCCTGTGGAGTCAGCCCTGCAGAGAAACTGAGCCCTGAGCACCTGCAGCTTCTGAGAAATGCATTTACCTCTCCAAAAGCCGCAGTACAGATACATGAAAACAGGCCTAGTGGAAGGAGTGGAAAGAACAGAGGAGGAAATGAGGAGCGGGGGATGGAGCTCGAAGAGTTTCGGGAGGTTTTGAGGTCGGTGATTGGTCCAGATATCGAGGACACATGGGTTGAGAGATTTTTCAGTGAGGTAAATAGAAATAAAGAGATGTCTTTAATTTTAGTAAAATTATAGTATGGCTTCTTGGTCTTCAGGGCACTGACTTCTTAAACGTCCTTATATCTAGGTAGATATCACTTGTACAGGACAGGTGAATTGGCAGCAGTTGTGTTCCTACCTGCTGCTGGAGTACACGGAGAGACAGCGCGCCTCCATCCCCACAGCTGCTCTCCTGGACTCCCAGCCTCAGATCAGACACTGCTCTCACAACAAGGTAGGAGTTTACCAATTTAGCTCTGGTGAAGTGAGAAGAAATGATTCATCTTAGTAGGATGTTCCAATGTTTAAACAATTACACTGACATGCCTAAGGTGAGCACAGTGGTGGTGGTAGCTTGTATGGTGCCCTGGGCGAATAGAAAGAAATAGAAATAAAAAATAAAAATGGCATGTCACCCATAAATCCACCATTGTTTCTGTATATAGGTTAGGGTTAGGATAGGGTTTAACAAATGAATAATACTGGTACATAAGTATGATGGTTGTAACACATTCAGCCATTCTTACAACTGATATAGAAAAAAAGGTGCTAATGCTAAAATGAAGGCTAAAGCATCTTGATAGTAATTGCTGCACAAGTTCAACCCACTACACTAAGCTTGTCTAATTTCTTCTCTGTACTCTCCTTCTGCATATTTTTTTTCTACAAGTAGTACTTTATTTCCTCCAATAACCTTTTTTTTTTTTTTATTAATTTGCTTCACTCATATGCAGCGGGAGCCAACAGTGCGTGTGGTCACTGTTTCCCATCCTCCTCCACTGCGCTATATAAGTGTCAGTAAAGGGGGTCAGATCACTGTCTGGAACAGCAGCCTACACATCCTCAAAACTGTCGGGGTGAGTGACATCATGGTACAAGTTTTACATCCACATGGAAATACAGCACACACTCACACACACGTTTTTACATTTGCTTCTCAGCTTGCTGGAGACCCAACAGAGGAAGTGGCCAACACAAGGAGGTTCAGAGGCTGGACCACTGATGCGGTGTATATGGACAACGTCCGCAAGGTTGCCATAGCAACCGACTGCAGGGATTTGCACTTTGTGAATGTCTCCGCAGCCGGTGTATCTGAGGATGTCCACCTATTTGGTACACTTGTTTGCAAACATGTATTAGCTGATCACTAATGAAAATGAGTTACTGCACCTCATTTTTCAGATGTTAACTCTTTGTTTCATCATCGCTCCAAGGTTTTCGTAGTGTCCCCACCGCTCTTTGCTACTGGCATGATGTACAGGTACAGCCACTGATTCTTTGAGATTTCGAATAAATTCACTTTGAGAGCAAATAATTTGTCACTTAAATTTATGTGGTTGTCCCTCCAAGTGTCCAGAGCGTTCCCGGCCCCTGCTGCTGCTGGGGGATGAAAAGGGAGGAGTCCACCTGATGTGGTTCTTGAACCCGTCTAAAGGCCTTTTTAAGAATCCCTCCAAGAAACAGAATGGCCCACACAGGATCTTTTTCCCAGTAAGCTTCGCCCATCTCATTTCTCTTATCTCTATTTAATTACTGAGCTCAGTCTCTGGTTTTTGCGGATCAACGTTCCTCACAGGTATCTACCGGAAACCACTGAAGCAGACCGACAGCGATGACGTGCACCTGTTGATTACTCTCCAATTCTAAAAACACCACTTAAACATTCACTCTTACCCGTCTCGACAACAGGACCTAGGTGAACACAGCAACACGGTCTCCTACCGTCACATCCCCAACATCCACCAGGAACCAATCAACAGAGTGATGTTTGAGCCCAGTACCAATGTCATCATGACATCCTCAGAAAGTGACACCACCTCTGTGGCCTTTGTGAATCTGACAGTGAAGCGGGAGCCGTACATCTGGAAAATTAGTCAGGTAACTTAGATCACAAGGTTGATTTGCTGTTGATACGTGTTATGTATTTTCTTTAGTAATTATTGTTATGAATCATAGCTAAGAGTACTTGAATGAGTGTGTATTTGTACATCATTTTGCAAATGGTATGAGAAGATAAAATGTAAACTAGCAAGAAGGAGGTCTAATTATTTTTGTAGTTATCCACTTTTTATGTGGGTCAAAGTCACAGAGACACATGTCAGTCACGCTGCTCTGGTCTGGGTAACAGTGACCTGACTGGGTGGGTCAAGGTTTGAAAATCAATTATCAGCCTAGAAAAATTGTTTAGATGGCATTCAAGGTCCTTGCACGGTTAACGCTCTATTACATAACCCATTCAGTGAATTATCCCTCGCCAGTTTTATCTAGAGGAACAAATATGAGATGTGAGTGAAGTTAGTCACTTATAAAGTTTATTCCCACCCGGCCTGGAGGGGCAGACAGTGTCACTGACTGTTGAGAAAAGAAGTAACGCTGTTGCACAAAACATTATTAAACTGGGTGGCTGCACTTCCTGTTATGCACAATGGCTTTTTTTGAACAAGCACAGTCATTTTACACTCCAATTAAATTGTCTGGACATTTTAACAATAAAACCACCCTTTAAAAATCCTCAGTGCTGGGAAAATCCTGAGACCAGCTAACTTGATGTGTGCGTGTTTTATTTTCCAAAATACAGAGACATCAAACACCAGTTCATGTACATTTCTGTCTCTCTGAACTTATGAATGTTGGTCTTTTTTGTCTCCTCTCCAGGGAGCCAAATGTTTTGACTACAATGCATCTCTGCAGTTGATGGTCACGGGAGGTTGTGACCGAGCAGTCAGACTGTGGACTCGATTTGTGACCACACGTCCTGTAGCTACACTGCCAGGTCACTGCGCCACTATATTGGATGTTGCAATCTACCAACCTGTTGGGCAGATCTTCAGCTACTCCAGAGATGCTGTGAGTCATTAAAGAAGAAGCTTAGAAGACAGTGAACTGTCCTGACAGTTGAGTGTACCGTGATAAATTACTGCAACAAAGCCTGTGTATTTACTAGTGACTGGACTAATGTTTCTTTTTTTTTTTCTTTTGTCAGGAGCTGAGGGTTTGGGACATTTCCTCACATCACTGTCTGAAAACTGTCCGCCTGCAGTTCCCGTGCCTGCAGCCAAGTCGAATCTCAGAACATGGCAACTTCCCTTTCCTGTTGCTAAGCCCTCCTCTTCCTGAAGACACACAGCCTCATTTAGTGGTGGGATGCAAAGATTACCTGGCGCTGCTCAACCTGGCCGAAACGAGGAGAGGAGGGGGCGGAGGGTTCACAAATGAAGGAAGGGAATTTGGACCAGAAATCCAAAGCGGTCCGGCCCTCTCCTGCGCTCTGTACAACCCCACCCTGAGACAGGTGGTGACTGCACATGCCAACTCATCCGTGTCTCTGTGGGATGTAGAGACAGGTAGGAGGCGGCTTCAGATCTTAAATGCTCATGGAGAAGATGAACTCCTCTGCATGGCACTAGACTCCTCCCACAGAAGACTGATCACTGGGGCTCGCAACGGCACCGTTAAGGTTTGAAACCACATCTTGTCACTATCAGTTTGTGTAAAAATACAGTGAACTGGCACCTTATATACAGGAAGTTACATGCATCTGTATTTCAAATGTGTGAGACAATTAAAAAAAGAGCTGGTCCCTCTTACTGACCACTCCAAGCAGGTGTGGAATTTACTGAATGGCCTTAACCTGCACAAGCTGGAGCCTGTCACCAACTCTGAAGTCACCAGGTTGACCTGTCTCCATGACAACAAGCTGCTGGCTGTGGGATGGAGCCAGCGGATCATTCAGTATGACATTGCAGCAGCCAAGGTAAAATTGAAGCTGTTTTAAATTGATAATCCGCAGCAGTTTCACATAAATAACTATAATTTTCTTTATGAATCACTTAAACTAGACTGAAAGGAACCATTTCACTAAACCTTCTGTTGAATGTTTTCAAGCCTGTTGAACCATTGCCCACACCCAGCATCACTGATGGGTGCAGTGGGTTGTGGTCAGAAGTGTGCTCTGTTGAACCTGTGACCACGCCCAACTGTGATGTCACAGGGTCCTGGAGTACACCTGTACATCAGAGGGAGTTAAATTACTGTTAAGTTTATGTTTCAGTTTATTACTGATCCAACAAAATAGTATTATAACCTGCTACTGCAGATCGTACTTTTTTGTGTTTTTACTTGAAAGACAAGAGGCAGGCAGGATAAAACATTAAAGGCTCCAAGAGAAGGTTTTGTGAAACAAACAAAATGATGTTTTCAGCCAATGTTTCACACCAAAACACATGTATATCCTTTATATATAATAAACGCGTTGAATGCATTTCCCTTCTCTAAAAGCATTTGCAAAGCCTACTTCTTGTAAGAATTAGAAACCTGTATTGTTTCTATATATATATATATATATATATCTATATCTATATATGTTACTTGCAAGCCTGTCTTCCTTTTTTTAGTGCTTTCAACTCAGTGGAATAGCATGAAACTATCAGCAGGACCAAATCGGAAACACATTGCTCCATAGCATTACTTGTGGACAAAACCTCAACAGGGAACCTTCCACATCAAACCTGAAGTAGTGTTGAGAGCAATGTCATTGTGATGTGATAAAGTAAAATAAAAAAATAAAGAAAATAAAAATAAAGAAAAAATGCCGTCATATTTTATGTGCAAAACACCAATGTCTGGTGGATCTATTCAGGGGAAAATGTTCTGCTGAACAGGAAGTCATTTGTCATGTTTCTGTCAGTAATAGCCATTTGTTTGGAAAAATAGACGAATAATAGTGTAACTATTGTGAGCACTGACACGTAATCACAGCATTGAATACATTATAGAAGCTTTTGATTGACAGGTGAAATGCAGCACAAACATTCACTAATGACCAAAAAAACATAAACGTATCGAGAAAACAAACAAACAAACAAACAAACAAACAAAGCTGGCCACCCAACCAGTGTCTTAGCCTGCAGACTTTTGCTTTGCCACAACTTCTTCCCCAGATGTTAGATGCAGGATGATGATGAGTCCCACACAAACAGCTGTCACCATGGTGACTAATCTGATACAGACTTGAAACACTTTGCCCCAAATTAGCCTCAGAAAATATTTCATGCAGTAGTAGCACAAAACGTATCCAATTATATCCAATGAATTCACAGTTAAGTCTGTCGTATCTTTAAATCATATTTTTTATGCCTTTGTATTGCTGGTAAAAAAAAAAAAAAAAAACATTTTTACAGAGCACAGATAAAACATACCCACATCCACCCAGACATTTATACAAAGGTCAAAAGAAATGAGGATGAAGTGTTGCCAGTGGCAGCGTAAGTGCCAGAATAAACACGGGAGTGAACTGCAACGTGAGACAAAAGTCTGGGTGTGCAGACGTGCATATTTTCACACCTCAAATTCCTGTGTTACATTTTACCTCTCAACCTTTAACTTCCATCTGCTCTGCGGTTAAATTCATCCATTAAAGACTAACGTTCAGTATTCATGCCTCTACAGCGAATTCTTCATGCTGTTTTTTCTCGGTCGTAATGTTTCTCATTGTAAAGCCCTCGTTGTTTCAATAGAGGCAGGTTTTCTCAACTGGTAAAAGCTGGTGGGGAATGACCTGATATGACCTGATGCGTAAATTAAGAATACATTTACACGCCGCCCCTTGTGCAATCAAAGACATCTGCACCAGTATTTCTATGACGTCTGCCGTGCTGCAGAGAGTCAGTTTTAAAGAGCGTTTCAGCCCAGAGGTGTAAACAAAATCAGTAAACCACAGCTTTCCACAAGGCTACACAAACAGTTACGTGTTACTTTAGACTGTTTGTAAACTGTCCCACAGAGGGAAGTGATGTGCAAATAGTTTCACAATTACAATCAGCAAGGCCCGTGCACATTAGAGCCTGCAGACAACATCGCATTGTTTTTGTGCAAAACCTTTTCGTGTCGGCTCAAAACTGGTGATATTCGGTCTCAACACCACGTATAAACATTTCCCCTAGGACTTGTATGTGAGAGCAGACCTGTCGTGGAAGTCCAGCGGCGTCCATAAGTCGGACATCCTCGTTGTGTGTCAGTGTTCTGCTCTGGGGGTCGTTGCCACAGCAAGCCATGATGGAGAGGTCATCGTCTGGAGGCTGGAGACGCAGGGACCACTGCTCCACCTGCAGAGAGAGAGGCAGGCGGGGTAAGGGGGATACAGCCGATGCGTGTGTTGTCTTGCTGAAGTTTGTGAATTGTTGACGGTTTAGTACTGGTGTTATGTTTTTGTGCCAATATAAACTCATTATGAGTTAGACAGAGATCGTCTCATCACGTCATCCATCACCTGTGAGGTCATAAACACTAACGAACAGATGTGATGAAACTCAGTGTATCTCACTCTGAGGTTTTGACCAGATCAAACAGACATCCGATGGTCACTTCTCACCTGCTTGTGTTTTCATTTGTTTATATGTTATAAATGGTTCACATATATCACTCATGAGATTTTGCTGAACACTGGGAAAGACGTGCATCTCAGTGCTGAACCACAGAGTCGTCACTAATTACTCTACAAAAATGTTAAGTGTAACAAAATGAAGACTTATTTCTAGGGCTGTTTTCATTCTAGATTAATCTTCAGATAATTTTCTAGTTATTTCATTATCATAAGATGTCAGAAAACTGTGAAAAATACACATCATAATTTCTTAAAGCCCAAGGTGATGTTATCAAATACCTTATTTTATCTGACCAACTACAACCCACAGGTATTCTACTTATTACCACATTAGACAAATATGTGGTAAATCATTACAGTTGAGAAATATTTGGTATTTTTGCTTGAAAAACTGATTTACAACTCATCAGGCAACAATCAATATAGATGTTGATTATGTTTCTGTAAACTGAGTAATCAATTCATTTACCTGCACTTATTTCCATTGTGGCTCTTGATGTAAAGACAGCAAAGATCGATAAACAATGAATGTAATCATCAGTAAAAGCATTCCAGTCTAGGATGGTAATGGACACTTGTGTTTTTCAGAAGCCACAGTTTGGCCTTCTTCTTAACTCATTCCAATTCCTGGCACCACTGACGTTAAGGAACAGATGCCAATGTTGGTACTGAACCTCAGCAACTCTAGCTCCAGTCTGGTGGTCACCAGTTTCTTTGTCAAGAGAACTGCGTCCTTAGCGGGAGCCAACTTCTACATCGTTTTCATCTGTTTTGTGTGATTCCAGAGTCGTGCCTCCTGTGGACAGTCTCTTGTTCCTGCAGCATCGAGCTGGCGACAGAAAGCTGAGAAACAGAGGTGTCCTGGTGTCATCACAGGCTGGCTGTCTGTCCTTTTGGAGTATCACTGGACAAACACACACTTATGGTGAATGCGACACTGAAGAAAAACCTGCAAGTATCACTGATGTGAGGTCTTTACGAAAAAACTGGATGCAAAACTAAATTACATAAATTTAAAATAGATCTCTGACAGTATGAGGAGGTGGAGGCACGAAACTGTACAAGCAGTTGACAGGCTGCCGTCACTTTTAATGATCCTCCCGTACGATGGATTTACACACAGCCAGAGCAGTGACAGTTAGGCTGAACCGTCGACTTGGACATAGTTGTGGGCTGCCAGGAATGGCAGCCCACAACTATGTCTCTTTCCAGATCCCATCTGTGTTTAGTGGTGTGGGATTCATGCACTGTGACCGCTGCATATGTGTATGAGCGTGCATGGGTATATGTGTGTGTGTATGAGTTATCCAGTATGCATTTGTGTGTGTGTGCATAGGTCTGTGTATGTGTCCATGCATTTTTCTAACAGAGAGGAATTTGAGATCGTGACATAACAGGGAGATGTGTGACATAACAGAAAGCATTCAAAGGTAGCAATTTGTCTCAAAAGCACATTTGTCATTCTATGTCAAAAACAGTATTCTTGAAATTGGCACAATATCGGAATATAAATAGATGTGCTTGCCTGCAGCTTGAGAGAACCAACTGTGGACTGTGTTTATAAAAACCTACAGGAGCCTGTTGCTAAAACAAAATTGCTTTTAGATTTTATTTGACTTTCTTATGTTTGGAAAAGTGCTTTCTTACAATCCAGGTTCTTCTCCTTATCCCAGGTCAGTTTTATGCTCCAGAGCAGCCAGGTGTGCGTGTGCTGAGCCTGAGCTCGGATCAGTCGAAAAACACCATCCTGGTCTCTGGAGACACAACAGGCTGGCTTCAGATCTGGGACATGTCTCACTATGCACTGGACATCCAACATAAGGTGAGCTGGTGTCAAGAAAAAAAAATGCAAAGTGTACCGTATAACCCCGCGTACTTCAGGTATTCTCTTTCTACACAGTCGGTTTGTGAACGGCCTGCTCTGCTGCAGTGTTGGAAAGCACATAGGAGAGGGTTAGTGAGTGTGGAAGTCCTGGAGGAGGCTGACAGACTGTTCGTCCTCACAGCCTCAGCTGACGGTTCAGCTGGACTGTGGACAAAGGACGGCGATCATGTGGGATCTTTTGGACAGGAGGTGATGTGGAATATCACCGATGCAGCTGCATACCAGAGGTGAGTTTATGAGTATATATCAAATAACAGGAAGAATGAAAACTATTTAGAAAGGGAGCTTGGAATCAGCAGTAACCGTCATAGGTACATCCATGAATAATTATAATTAAATGCATGAAGCAAAATCACAACAGAGAGGAAATAAAAAATGCCAAAATCTGAACAACTTCTTTTCTCAGCTGACAAACTCACTGTGCACTGAGAGTGAACAGATCGACTCCCTGTGTCACTTAGTGGCTTGCTAACTCTTCCGTAGTCGAAGCATCATGACCACGGAGGCCATAAATGCTATATATGACTGCGCACATGCTGCTGTGAAGTATATTCGATTACACAGTCCAAATTTTGAGGATGACGTGTGTAAACGTGGCCGTCTCTTTGTGGGATTTGATCATTCAATTCTGCCAGCCAGATTGTACCTGGAATAAGAAAACTGCCAGTATCAGATACAGAACAAGTCCAAACAAGTCATGCTGTCGACAGTGAGCGCTAAATATGTGCCAAATCTAATATAGAGAAACGCATCATCCAAAAGAAACTTCCCTCGTTGTTTCCACAGCCGTTTGAGTCTTTAATAGAAACCTCAGTTTGGTTAAAGGTCATAAACTCTGGCTTAGTGTGGGTCTTTACTGTGTGCACGACTGTGTTTCTGTCACATGTTAGGTAACAGGGGCCATAAAGGAGAGAACCGTTCAAAGTAATTTAATTTGAGAGGACAAGAAGGTGCAGTCCGAATATAAGAAGCTCAATGAGGAGCCAAATCGTTTCATCATTTATGGTTTAACTCTTGTCAAGACACGCTGCTGATGGCTTCGTGTGATGGAGACGCACCACATGGATGCTTGAATTGAAATTTAAATGATTGGTTATGGTGATTTAGTGTGTATATGTATGTTTAGGGAAGAGAGCGAGAGAGGAAAAGTTAGTGGACTTGTTCTCCTCTTGTCACTGTCCTCCCACCTGTCCGTCACTGTCTCTGTGGCTTCTGATTGGTCGACCACCCACAGAGTGATGACAGCATTTAGGTGTCTTCGCTGTGGCTCTCAAGTGTTGAAAAATGCAGTTTAAAAACCAATCAGAAAATAGTATATTAAGTACATATCACATATTTTAAGGCTTTTTCTTGCTCAAGTCAGACCAGGTTTTGTTTTTTGTTTTTTGTTTTTTATTGAGAAGCATCTGTGTTTGTGTTTCTTTGGTTTGAGGTGGTTGGGCTCAGGGGGGAAAAGGTGATGTCACATTTTTCACTGCACCAATCACGATTTAGCAACAAAAACTGAATCTGATGACAGTGGAGTTTTTCACTGTATCTCTTAATAAATAATACATACAGATGTTTTCGATTGTTGCCTATGTAGTTATTACTTTTTAATGTTATAGAAAAATAATAAGGATTCAACGGCTTTAAAAAAGTATAATATCCCAATTTTATATCAAGGAATTCCATGTGTATATAAATACACAAAACATCTTGACAAGACGTCTTGTATCAGCTTGCACATACCAAAGTAATATTAAGACCTGGCAGCATGTCAGCATCTCTACAATGAGGAGAGCAAGAAACCTGTATAGATATATATTGCATAGATGTTGTAAACATGAATTTGCAACAGCTTAGCTAGATGATCAAAACCACAGCTACAATAGTTCTGACTTGAACCAGGAAGTTAGTATGTAAACGAAATGTTTGCCTTAGTTTTTAAATAAGTTTTACAGACATTGGGTTTTTTTTTTTATTCCTTGTATGATCATCTGACTTCTAGTGTTTCATGCCCCATCAGGCTTTTCATAGCAATGCTACCACACTCCCAGATCTCAGCCATTATCTCAGCATTATTACTGACAGGACTTAATGACCAAAACAATGAAAACAATTATCCTTTAAATTCTTCGTAGCCAAATTTTACCAGGAAGAGCTTCTTTTTATTTAAAAAAAAAAAACTAATCAATGTGAAATTTCTCTGTGGGCTTTTATTAAGTTGTCCATTCATGAAGTTGAAATTATACTGTCAGTTTCAATTTACCCAATAAAGCTGTCCTAAGATGCGCTCACACACACACACACACACACACTCACACACACACACACACACTCACACACACACACACACACACACAGAAGGAACATGCAGAGTCCTCAAGTGCAGGCCAACTACACCGCAGTGACGGAGAACAGCTACAGTTCTGGTTTAAATCAAGTCTAGCAACAAACATGCTCACAGATATCGGACTCTGTGACAAAACATCATCCCACAGAGATCACTGATCTGAGTCCTGTGTGGTTTCGGGACCTTGACATGAGCCAGACTGGGAAAGCTCTATCTAAAATAAACAGCTTTGTGTTTGCACAAGTGGATTCCCTTCAGCAAAGGGGTGATATCTTTTGGCTCTGACACCCTCAGGGAGACACAGAACGACCGGAGGGAGGATACAGATGAGGAGGTGGGGGCTGAAAGTGACGGAGCGGGACCCAGCAAGGTCAAAGGTCAAGTACTCGACTCCACCAACAGTCAAACTTCACAGGAAGAATGCAGTTCTGAAGGTAACCATTCAGTGCTAACAGGTGTTTTACACACACACACACACACACACACACACACACACACACACACACACACACACACACACAGATAGCCTCTCCCTGACCCAGGCCTGCTCCAATCCCATTTGGCTTCATGCTGAGAATGTCCCTTCCAGTAATTACCACTTCTGTCAGGATCCTTCTACATGTGTGTGAGTGTGTGTAGCTGCTGCTCGAGACATCCATGAAAATGGGTTAAATGTACAGGTCGGGATGGCCTTCCAAGCTAATTAAACCCGATACTGCGATTCAATCATGTCCAATTTCACCACATTATGAAGAGAAGAGTCAGAGCATTCTTCACATTCTCCCCCTCTGAAGTCTGGAGCTCAGCTTGGGAACATTTGGGCAATGTTCTGCTCCAGAGACGCAGGCCAGATTTTTAAAAGTGCACAAATGCTCAAGTTTTGTGTGTGCGTGGCTGTGCATGTGTGTGTGTGTGTGTGTGTGTGTGTGTGTGTGTATGTGTGTGTGTGTATCTGCAAGACATTTCCTACACTTTCCTTTCACTGTCTGCCCGTTACTCAGAAATTGCCAAAATAAGCGATTAACTGTGCTTTCTCTGCAACCACACCCAGGCAGACACACACACACACACACACACACACACTCTAACTCACTTAATGTTGTCTCTTGTCATCGACTTTAGCTTCATCCACCGGCCCAGCAGAGACTGACCAGGAGCAACCTCAGCAACCCATGGTAACCTGCAAACACACAACCAGCTGCTGATGAGTGTTAACACTGTGGACGTTGAAGATATTCCCACACACACACACACACATTTGTCATTCTCATCTCGCTCGTCTCGTTTCCATCCCTCCATGAACGCTCATCCATCCATCCAACAATCATCATCTGTGCATCTGTGTGTGTGTCAGTATCTGTGTGAGGACTTCTGCCAGACGGTAGCTCCATGTTGCCACAGGAGACGCCTGTTTGATGACAGTCACCACAGCAATCACTGCTGATTGGCTCAGTTCGCCTCATCAGACTCTGGTGAGTTTTGTTACCGATAACCGATCTATCTTTTTTTTTTTCCTTTTCAAGTAATTAATCTATTTCAGCTTTTTTCATTGCACTTCTCTGTTGTGCTTATGAACATTCTTCATTATAAAGCGGGTCTAGGTGTCATATAAATACTATGAAAGTACCAAAAGTTCAATCCGCAGAGGAAATGCACAGAGCCTGTAATTTTGTGATGTCATAATGAAACAGTCGCTGCCCTCAGCTATGCCCCAAGCCTGGCCCACCGTCCAACCTTACAGGATTTGGTTATCTGCAAGTATTACCTGAAATCTGCTATATTTTTACTCCATCTCTATCAAGGAATCTTATTAGTGTTTTGCTCCGCTGTTACTATGGCTGTGTGATCACAGTTAAGAGATGGTATCCACCGCCCGGAGTAGGTGCTCTGAAAAAAGGATAAGCTGCTTAATGGCTTTGTCTCCATAGTTACTGTCCAGGTAAAGCATGTTTCATATATGCAGGGGTTTGCACTTGAACCAGGCCTTAGACTCCGCTGTATAGCCCCACACCAAATCCAGCCGCAGCATTTTAGTCTGAATTTGAACATCTGTTCAGTTTACTTCAGTGCTGACTGACAATCGCCATGGTCACAACAAAAAAATATGGGACCTTTAAAATAACATCTCTACCATTATGAAGGATGTTGCAACTCAAAGCAAGAGAATATAACTGTTAAAAGAGGAAGTGACACATTCATCCTCTTATAGATGATTAGTTCAACGCCTAAACAATAAAACACTGTTGGTGTTCTGTTCTTTGCTGCTGTAATGATCAATAAACTTTATTTCATCAGCTCTCCACTTACCCACCTAGTTTTGGACGGTATAATTTTATTTTATGTATTATGTAAATCCTCTGTAGTAGGAGTGTTTATTGTCATCGGTGGTAGTCTAGGTTTGTGGACGTCCAGTAGTGGTCACTATAAAAAATACTGGTCAGCACATGTGGCTATAAAAGGCTCGATCAATTCTGGAGGAATACGACAGGGCAGTTCCACTTCCTTTCATCCCGGTGCTGTGGCTGCAGTGCTCCATGGTCAGGCTGAAGACATGATTGAAGGGAAGGGATAATGAAAGACGGATGGAAGAAGGAAGAGAAGGACTGCTGCCGTCCTATTTTAGATACATCTAATGGGAAAAACCTGATTGGTTCATTTGAGCATGCGTGTCTTTCCCACTTCCTTCTCTTCTTGCTTTGTCTTAACTGCTGTGAATGTTTGACCCCTCTTGACTCTTGACCCCTCCCTGATGAGAGACCTGATGAGCTTCTTCGTCCTCCCTCTGTGTCCTTCTCCCAACCGTGACCTTGTCCCTTTATGCTCTGTGTTGCGCTGCCGCACTGTGAATTTGTGGCCTAGACATGGAAGAGGCTTTTCCTGTCGCTGCCAATTCATGTGGACTGACCGCTGAGAGGTCAGAGAGGAAGTTAAAAAGACTTCCATCGATTCATCTTAACGCTTTAGATGTTTTCTGAAGGAAGAATGTCAGAAATGCCTTGAAACTGCTCTGTAAACTCTGTTACATATTTCTAAAAATTGTTTTCTATTAACCTGGAGCTAAAAATTCTTTTCTTCATTTCTTTCTTTCTTTTTCTTTTTTTTTTTTATTACTTTTTCCAGGAGATGCCTCCAATGCAGCTTTACCAATAATCCCCCAGGTGTGGTATCAGACCGGCAACACGAATCCTGTGCACGAAAATACAGACATGGATGCGTTTTTTCCCTTTTCCATAATTAATGAAGCCGTCTTGCAACTGTAAATTGAATCTGTCTGTTTAAATATGTGAAATAAATACTGTGATTTACACTGCAGTCTTTGCTGTGCTGCATGTACTGTACTTTTCTCCCTCCTTGTTTTTCTTTTGATTTTAGCTGTTTCCTTATTCTGCTTTCTTCACTCCAAACTCACATTTCTTGATGTTTGGTCCGTCTCTTACTCATAAAATATCTTCTTTGAGGAACAGATTTGACATCTTGGGAAATACTCTTATATACCAAGAGTTAGGTGAGAAGATTGATACTGCTCTCACTTAGCTTAGTTTAGCTTAGCTTAGTTTAGCATGAAGGATGGAAACAGAGGGAAATATTTGCTTGGCCCTGGCCGAAGGTGAGAAATCTGTCAATCAGCATCTCTGAATCTCACTGATTAAAAACATTTCATATTCTGCGTTTAATCCTAACAAAGAGTGTATAAAGTGTTTTAACTAATTCATGTGTTGGACTATTTCTTTGCAAGATGCAGTGACAAGTGAGTCTTGTCCTTGCTGTGAGGTAGCCAAGCAAACACTGAACAGTGCTATACAAAGAAGTGCATTTCCCAAAACGAGTGTTGATGCTAAGCTAAGCTAACCGGGTGATGGCTGTAGCTTTATATTTGATTTTCAGACACGAGAGGTAGTTATCTATTCATCTAACTCTCTATGTGAAAGCAAGGCAGGGTATTTCCCAAAATGTCAAACCTCTGCTTTAAAATCATTTTGCATGTCCTCATTGTATCTGTGCAGCAGCGGCTTCACATTACACTGATTGTTGTAGTTCTTTTATCAGCAGAGTAAAATTTCCTGATATTTGAGACTTCTGGGTCATCCAGACAGACATGTAGACAGACAGACATCTGAGCCATCTCACCCACTTATCTGAACACAAGCCACCCTGTACTTATCATCACAGCTCTGCTGAATTGCACAAATTGGTGACGCAAGACTCAGTGCCCTATTTTTGTTTGTTTTCTTCCCATATTTGATTTTGAAACCTCTTTGCATGTGCTCGCCCGCTCATCCCTAAAAACCGGGTTATTTTAAGCACCGGTCTGGATGTTTTAGCAGGGCAGGAAGCGAGCACAGTGCCCTTTCTCCAGTTTGTTTCTCAGGGATAAATACAGACAGACACAGCTGGGACAAACAGGGTAAGTCATCGGGACTGCACTTTTACCCCCTTGGGCACTTGTAAGATAACACAGCATTATTGAACTCCACCAAATATTTTATGTTGCCAGAAATATCTTCTTTCTGCCGATGAATACAAATAGTTTCCTCTTAAGCGATCACATTTTCAACCAAAAGTGCATATCTTTACCTTTTGTAATGCAGTGGAATAAAAACTAAATGACACACTCATACATACTTGAGCATTTCTCAGTTCGTTGTCCCTGCAGGGCTGAAGCGGGAGATTTAGTTGTGGGATTTCTTTTTTTTTCTTCTTCTTTTTGCTTTAAAAGTCACTTTGAAAAAAAAAAAAGTTTTAAAAGACCAAGTACAACAGACAGAAAGTTAAAATGGAAAGCTCATTCAATTGTGAAAAATGTGGCCTCTGCCTGTCTAAAAGCTGATTTGTGTTGAAAGAAGAACAATATCTTCTCTTGTTTTTGTAGCTGGGGTTTTGCAAGGGGGAGAAGTGTGTAAGTGTGTGTGTGTGTGTGTTTGATGGTGGGGGGGGGCAAAACAGAAGCTCTGGCTAAATGGCAGGTTTAGCCTTCCTTTCACTAATTTCCAACATCAGTAGAGGCTTCTCTCAGCCTGTTTTCTCTTCAGAGAGGGTAAAACACCCTGGAGAGCAACTCCCAGACATTGACGCGTAATTTTGTCAGAGTTCCACGCGCATGCACACACACTCACGCGCACACACACACACACACACACACCCAAACAGACGACAGATGTTCCAAAATACCACAGTAACAACAGCGCAGATGCAGGCTGGGAAATGCCCTGTGAGATCCTCATTGCCTCTCTATAAAGCTGCTTAGGGCTTTTAGAGCCGACACGGGCAACATACAGCGATCGTAATTTATGCAGCACACTGTATGTTTTCACAGGAATCAGAGAGGGGGAGAGTAAAGAAAAGGTGGCCTGTGAACGAAGGGAGGTGTTATTTTTCCCTGCGTGTTTCCTCATTTGAAGTTGTGCAAGAACTTGTATTTTTTTATTTTTTTTATTTTTATTTTTTTCTTTCTTTTCCAGCACTGCCTTTTCTGAACTTGTGTCTCTCTGTAGATCAGCGTGACAGGGAGAAAAGTGAGGGATTCATGTGTGGGAACTGCAGCAGGAAGGAAAGTGCAGCTGGGAGATTTGCCTGGAGCGAGACAGACTGGAGGTCTGTGGCGAAAAAAGGCAGAGAAAGGAAAAGAGGAGGACGGAGAGAGGTAGAGAATTGACAGAGGAGCGAAGGAAATTTGAAGCAGGGATGAGATGAAGCTTGGGATGGGAGGAGGAGAGAGGATTTGATGAGACGGAGGAGGAGTGAGAGTGGACTTTACTTAAAGAAGGAAACAGACAAGAGGATGACAGAGGGAAGGAAATCTTGCCCCCCCACCCCCAAAAAAAGGGGATGTCGAGGGAAGTCGCACTCTCACACAGACTCAACACACCTCTACACAAGCACCTGTAAATCTGCACATGCCTGCCAGAAATCTGTGAGGAAGGCAGCTAGTTTACATACACACACACACGTGAATGAAAACTGGACTTGGACCTTCAATTGCACACACACACACACACACACACACACACACACGTTGCATCAGAGAGGATTCGTCAGCTGAAGGTGGTTTCATTCAGATCTGATGTGATAAGAAAAAGTCTCCACCCCTTCCTGCTTCCAAGGACTTGTGCTTTAACCCTCCAAGAGTGCATGTGTATTGCACAGAGAGAGTGTGTGTGTGTGTGTGTGTGTGTGTGTTTTCTGCACCCTCATTGCGCACACTCTCAATCTTGCGAATCTGTCATTTGATGTTTGTGTACATACCTGCACAGACACACCCACAATGCACACACACGCAGACATACAAACACTCCCTCTCTACTCTCTCTCTCTCTCTCACACACACACACACATACACTCTCTCTCGCTCGCTCGTCCTCGGAGCAGCAGGTCCCTGGAAGCAGCCAAACTGTCAGTGACTGCTGCTAACACATGCTTGCTCTCAGCTCAGCTCTTTCTCTGGCTGCTGCCAAGGGAGGAGGAGGAGGAGGAGAAGAGGAAGAAGAAGAAGAAGAAGAAGAAGAAGAAGAAGTGGGGCTGGAAGGAACAGACTGAAACACACAGATAGAGAAGAGAAAGAGAGAGACTTGAACCAACCTCTGACTGCTTACCTCTCTCGCCTCTGCCTGGCTGACTGTGTGGGAGACTGGAGGCAGCCCACAAGTGATGCCTCGCACATTCGGAGCAGCAGCACATAGTCAGGACTTTCTTTAGGTCTCTCTGTTGTTTTTATTTCTCTTCTCTTTCTACATTTTCCTCTCTTATCTCCGATTCAATGATGAGGAGAGACCGTCTCTTCTTGGCCGCGACCCTCACAGCCATCTTCTCCGCTGACCTTTACTTCATTCTCCTGCCAAAGCTGCGGAGCATAGGACGAGGGTCAGGACAGTTTTGCTCATGTGGTCCCAACAACCTCACCCTCCCCAGGCAGGAGGGTCTCGCCACCCCGCAGCTGTCCAACTGGACTTCTGGGTCACCTCTGGTTGGCGCTACGACCGACCCCACAGACGGAGGCTCAAAGCTGGCCAGGCTGTTTGCTCACCCTCTGTATAACATCCAGACTCCGGCGCTGGGGCCAGAGGAAAGGCTGCTGCAGGCGGAGCAGCTGATGGAGTACTACAGGAGGAAGGTGTCACGGTGGGAAAGGTCAGTTACTGGTGTCATTTCTCAGGCTTCGGAAAAAGAATTACATGCAGACACATTTGATTTTTGTGCAGAGTGCCATTAATTTTGCAACGTCCGTGTTACTTCACTTTATTGTGAAAGAAGGGCATGTTCATTTTGGCTGAAAAAAAATCCCACTAGTGAAAGCACATGTTGAGGCTTAACTGTGGTCCAGAGGCAGGGTCACTGACACGATGGCCAAACTCACCGCAGACACGCACAAACACACGTCCCATGCACATAAACACACTTTGTCCACAATAACAGATGTATACCCGCAGACAGACGTCAGGATGTGTAGACAGTTCTGTGTGTCATTACAAAAAACAAAAAAAACAAAAAGTCCAGTGTGTCGAGTGGGCTGGTGACAGAAAACCCTCACAAACATGTCACTCTGAGAGCTTGCATCTGGAGCGCTCTCTTTAAGGTAAACAAGGATTTAAAACTGCCAAAGCTTATCTTAATCTGTGGGAGCCGTAGCTGTCTTGGCTTGTGAGGCTGTCTGTCGATCCCGACACAGTGCACTCCCTCTGAGAGATACAGATTTTGGGCTCTTATGGTGGAAAATAAGAAGAAATATGAGCAACGGGTCTCCTCTCTCTGCTGCGGTTTAAATGTGCACAGAAACAATGGATAGCCCAAAGGCTTGCTTAAGACTTGCAATATCTTGCAACAACATATCAACACTGCAACAAACACACCTAGGGAGAGCTTTATGACAGGGGGGCTTCTCAAATGAGCTGTTAAAACTGGTTTTATTTGCATACTGGAAAAATAGGCTTCAGACTTAATTTCCTGGTCAACCTGCGTACGTGTGTGTGTGTGTGTGTGTGTGTCCTTCCTGGCAAACACTGAAAGTAATCACCACTAAAATATTCTCCACTTTTTAAACCCTCTGTTCTGCTGCACACCCTGTGGTCTGCGGTCTGCACTTGTCCATTGTCCTGGTTACCCTGATCTGTCTCTCCAGCCTGCTAGATGACTGAGGACTCGGTTGGATGACCAACGAACAAACTCCTATTTATAACCCTTCGCTCCATTATCGCAATATGTTATCCGGCCCGTGATGGAGTTTGTTTGGGTTGGCAGGCGACCGTGGCAGTCATTGCGGTCAGCTCTGGTGATGTGGTGCCCCTCTTACCACAGACCTATTTGTTTTGCTCTCAGATTATTCTTGCACCAGCTTTAAGTTTAGCAAAGAGGAGAGTAGAGGGAAGGAGGCAGTGGAAATTCAAAATTTTGTCGCAGCTGCTTTCCAGAACAATAGAGAGCACATAGGATGAATAGCAGAAAACAGAGTGTGTATAATAAATTTAATATATGACTGTATTGCCAAGTAGCTCTACAAAGCAAACCTGTTGAATGTACTTTGCACTCTGTGGCCTTTCCAAAATAAAATACTGCCCATAAAAAACGTTGTAAAAAGAGTATATGTTGTATAGAATATACAGAGGATGTTCAGTAACTAAAGCTTCCCTTCGCTCAACGTCTCACTCCCCAGGCACATGAAACTCTACAGCGAAGCAGCAGCTGTCTCCAACCTCACTGTGACCGAACACGAAGTGACCTTTGACCCCGACGCCACCTGGCTGAAGTTCCACCTGGGAATAAGCCGCTATGCTCTGTACTCCCGCGATGACCCTGCTATCCCGCAACTGCTCAAGGACATGGAGAGCATGGCGGTCGTCAGCGCAGGTGAGGGATGGATGAATGGGATTCATAACATCTGTATGTCTGTAAAAAAAAAAAATCTACTGTAATTGCTTAATGTAATTTGGAGTAAAACATAACGGCGGCCGCCCAGATGGTAGCCTCTTTGTCACATTTTGTCCCTGCCTGTTCCGCTGTAACTCTAAATATCCTATTTTTTCTTTTTTTCTTTTCACCATCTAAGATTTATAATAAACTCTGCAGGTTAAGCTGTTTGCACAAGAACAGCGTCCCCCTTCCTGTTCTGTGCAGTACAGCAGTATTCCTCTGCTAACATCCTGGCAATGAGCCCATCCAAATCAGTGGTGATCAATTACTGACGTTAAAATGTTAATATGATTATTGTGTGTTAAATTATGAACTAATTTATGTCTTACAGACTACACTCAAGATGAGAAGGCCCTGAAGGGAGCATGCGATTGTTCCCAAGGTATGAACGAGGAGTTCTGATGTTATTTATCTCATATCTCATGTTGTGTCGCTCTGTATTTTGTGTACAACGTGTAACAGCATGGGTGTTCGATTTCTGACTGGATCCTTTGTTTCTCTCTCTTTTTTTTTTTTTTTTGTTTCTGTCTTTTTCTGCTGTGCTTGGTGGCACCGTCAGACACAAACACACTGCTGCCTTTGTGATAGTGAGGATTTTGTTTTTCATTTGGCACCAAAATTCAGATTTGTCCTTCTGTATATAAGACACTTGCTCTGGGGCAAACAAAAAAAAAAAAGGCGTTCATTTGTGTTCAAAGGCAGAGCTCTTAATTAAATGTTTGATGCCTGCATGCTCAGAGGGAAGCCAACATTTTCAGGCTTCAACCTACACACTAACCACCACCTACACTGTCAAGCTGCAAAATGTATGGGAGGAGAAGTGAAAGTTACTGACAAAGTTACTTTTAATAGATGTTAAACTTAATAACCAGATATGGTGTTTAATAGATGTGGCCAGCTTTCACATAACTGATACAAATGCATGTGTAAAGCCTGTAGTGTACTTCTCCATGTAGAAATATGAAATTGAATTGATGAAAGAGGTCCAATTTTTCATAATTTCTGATATTATAATGGTTTTATATTTAATATTTTACTGCAAGCAATGCATACATTTCTCTCACACACCTCAGTATTGATGTGAAGTCAGTTATATTACATGTTTCTGTCCTGGCTGTACCTCTCCGGCGTCCGCGCACAGTGAAGTGGCTGACCACACAAACATCTTTCACTGCCAAGAAGAAATGCAACAAAACAATCTGTCTCTCCTCTCTTTAAATTTAACCTTCACGAGACTCTCATTATTTCAGTAACCAAAGAGCGACGGTGATCAGTGGCCACAAAGGCAGTTTGATCCCCTTTGATTCATTTCCATAAAAAAAAAAAGAAAAAAGAAAAAAGGAGAGATTGTAAACCCGGTATGATTGTTAACTATTAAAACCCTGGAGTTTCACAGGGCGCAGCAGGAGGAGGCGTGTGTGTGTGGTCAGCCCGGCCTGCTGCTGCAACATAATATACAGCCAGACAGAGAGAGAGGAACGCTTGTCGCCAAGAGCAGAGCAGAATGCAAGCTGTGCGACCAACAACCAATTACTTTATCACAGGGAACAGCCAGATCTAGAAAATATTCCACAGTTTGAACTTGTCTCTGCGGATTCAAGCTAAAAAACAAATAATGACTCGGTTACCTGATGCTCAGTGTTCACTTTTGTCAAGTTTTCAACTACTAAACACACAATTACAATATGTCTTTATAAAGTTACCTGATCTCCACTAATGTGTACCCAACATCGCTGACCACCTCGTGCTTCTTTTCTCTTTCTGTCTCTCCATCATAGTGGTGAAGCCCAGTGGGCATCACCTGAAACTGGCTCTGAAAATGCGTAACTTTGCCAAGGCCATGTTCAAACCAATGAGGTGAGGACTGAATCCACATTTGAAGAGTCTCCGTTCTTCACCAAACACCATCAATAAGCCACTCATGTCAGTGTCATAGGTGACACATAGCACAAAAAGTTTAGATCCCAACAATACAAAGAAAATGTGGTTTCATTTGAATCCATTTTACCAGCTGATTCGGTGTCCATGAAAATTTTACATGAGGTTACATAAATTATATAACAGGGCACTATCACATGTCATGTCCTACGTTAATTTATGTCAGACTGAATCATCTAGTATCTCTTGAAATTACAGTATTTGTTGTGTTGATTATATGCTACTGACTATTATTACTGACAGCTTGATCACTGTGTATGTCTTTACTTCTTGGGTGGGTGTGTGTTTGTGTGTGTGTGTGTGTGTGTGTGTGTGTGTGTGTGTGTGTGTGTGTGTGTGTGTGTGTGTGTTTGTGTGTGTGTGTGTGTATCAGGCAGCAGAGGGATGAGGAGACTCCAGAGGACTTCTTCTACTTTGTTGACTTCCAGAGACACAACGCAGAGATCGCTGGCTTTCACCTGGACAGGTGCAGCCTCATTATCACTTAATAGTTTTTCCTGTTTTACTATCATCTCTGTTACACTCTGTGTATTTTTAGTCTCCTCTCAGTGAATGTTTGTGGCAGTGGTGCTTGGGGGTAATTTTAGTTTTGGTTGCACATCTGTCGTTTTATTGGTCCCAGTTATGGCTCTGGTGCATACTTAAGTGCTACAAATGTTCTTCTTTAGGCCCTTTAGTTTAAAGAGAGAATCCATGATGCAAATTTAAAACTAAAAAATGTTTTAATCAGAATTGTTTTAGCCACACTTGCTGCATGGCTGTATGGATTTTGGTCTGCTGTTTGGTCGGCCAACCACTGTGGTCCAGACCAAAATATCTCAACAACTGTCAGATGGATTGCCATGAAATTTTGTACAGATATTCGTGGTTCCTGCAGAATGAATCCTGCTGACTTGGGTGATCCCCCGACTTTTGTGCTAGAACCATCATTAGGCTGACATTTATGGCTGACAAAACAAAGTGCAATCATTTCAAAAAATTAAAAAATGTAAAAAAAAATTATGTATAATGTAAAAAAAAAAAAAAATGTATATACATTTCTCCTGGTGCCAACAAATGAATCACCCCACCTCCACAAAGATTGCAACATGCTTGCCCAACCCAGGATTTCCCAACTAGCTGATCAGTATAAACCACAGTCTGTGGACACACACAAGGATACACACACGCACACACACACACTCTGCGACTTTGTGTAATTGTACATTAGTTGAGGTGAGGTGATTCACTCTGAAATACAGTCATTTGAGCTAGACAGTGTCATTAAGAAGCCACACATAATAATAAGTCACCGCTTCACCACACAAGACAGAAAACAACAAGAGTGCCACGTCAACACTCCACTCTGTCCAACTGTTATTATCTGCTCATTATTTAAATATATATTAGTCCTTTAAATATAAGAATCATTAACAGTTTCTGTCACTAAACACAAACAAGACAGACAGATCAGTTCTCTGCTCTCTGCTGTTTTTAATTTATGGGGGTGTGTTTTTAATCTGTAGCACTGTGTCATCTCTCTCTGTTGTGTCTGACTTGGCTGCCAGAAGCCCTTATCATTATTGCTCGCAATCAGTCGTTGGGGAATGCCGGAAATTTGAGAAACAGCAATTCAGCTTCACACACTGATTGTTGTTTGATTACTGTTTGTGAGACATGACTGAAATATGGTCCTCAGGGAGGTATAAGCTCTTGATAGTGTATATGAACCCAGCCAGCTAAATTACACAGCTGGCGGAGACCGTCAATAGGGTACATTCATTGATAAGAATCAGATGAAATGAACTGTGGGCTCAGGTGAAATGAGGTGAGGAGACAGAGATAAGACTACCATCATCTTCAGAGGGTTCACATTGCATTTATGTAAGCATGAACTGTGTGAACTGTCAACTTTCCCTTACACCTGCAATAGAGATACCTTATTTCCACAAGGGTTTTCTTTCGAATATCATCCATGTCTTTGTTAGGATCCTGGACTTCCGGAGGGTCCCACCGGTGGCTGGCAGGCTGGTAAACGTCACAGGAGAAGTCCTCCAAGTCACCCACAATGACGACCTTCGAGCTGTCTTCTTCACCTCACCAGGTAGAGCGCCAGCAGACCTGTTCTTAAGAAAGAGTTTGACAGTTTGGCAAACTATAATTCAATTTCTTGCCTCTTAGATAAGGCGATCAGTACTATTCCCATGTCTGTCCATTTAATATGAAGCTAACAGTTACAACCAGGGGACGGTTAGCTTAACTTAGCATAAAGACTGGAAACAGGGGGAAACAGCTAGCCTGGTTCTGTGCACAGGTTGAAAAGACAGCTTCCTATAATTACAACATCATATCTCTTCTGTTTAATCTGCAAAAAGAAAATCAAGGTGTAAAATCAACAAGTGGGGGGGGGGGGGGGGGTGTGGCTTTTCTTCCTCCTCTATGTGGCCTTATACTTCTCCTGCCACGATGAGGCAATGTAGACTTTTCTGTAGACACTATGCATGAAAATAGTGCAAAAGCACATCAACCCCAACGTAAAACACACAACCTTCTATTGTTATTACTTTTATTTGATTACCATTCAAATCAAAAGGATTAAAAACAAAAGAAGACCATAAACAGTAATTCCCATGTTGATGAAGCTTTGAGAAGCTCGACGTATTAGGGAAGAATATTTAGAGACAGAAAATCTTGAATAAATTTTTTAATCATCCAGAAAGAGAACCTAGGCTGAGACGTGTATATAACACCCCGGCTTTCCAGGTTTTATATGACTAGGCTAAGCTCACGTCTCCCTGGCTAGTACACTTATCTCCTACTCGTATTTACGCGTCACACTATGATGACATCTTCTCGTTTAACTCTCTGCTTAAGAAAGTGAATTACAATGTCCTATCCTCAATCCTGTCGCAAGCATCCTGGCTCTCACGTGTCCTTGTATCTTGTGTTGCTTGTTAGGGTTTATACATCTTAGTCCAAGCCAACAACGCAGCTTATGAAATGTTTTATTTATGGAGCACATACACATACGTTCTCACACGCCCAGTGATATTCTGTATCATGATGGACTATACTATATGTATGACCTCACATGAATATTACCACAGCGCTCTTGCAGTATATGCCCTATAAATTCCTTTTAGAACAATACGGAATAATCTGTCTAAACCTGCACTTCCTGCTGTGACTATTGCTGGTGTCTGGTTAGGTGATGTTTCATGCTGGTGTGAATGACGTTCCTATGGCGTAGGGAAAAAGGCGAGATGTGATCAAAAGCATGGATGCTATCCTGGTATAGTTGAAACAGGGAACTACATCTTGTAATATGAGCAACCATTATAATGTTGTACGTCAACTCAACAGCAAGCGAACCAACATACTGTTTCTTCCGCCAAGGCTGCCTGTATGTTTGTAAGTACAGATAGTAAATATCGCGGTGTTGGCGACAACTCCCTGATCGCTAACTGGAGTGCCATCCACTGTCACTGCTATTTACCGTGCCCGAGAGCACATGCCAGCATCGTACATACCACACGCGCTATTATCTCCAACGCGCCAATCACCCGGAATGTATGCGTACACTAATTCATCCGGAAGAAAGAGACAGTTTAAGAGACCCCTACATACATGACATATCTTCCAGAGGAATTTATCATTTATCAATCATGAGCTGCGACTCAATGCAAATTGATAAATTGTACTGTCATGTTGAACTAGCAACATTGCACAGCTAATCCAACTGGTTGGTGGCACTCAAGCAACATAGGATATAATATCTATTGATTATTTTCAAAATAATAAGGGCACACATTCCTCTATAATTATGTGTACTGTATAAATTAACTAGACATGAACAAATTAAAGGATGTATTTAGTAACAATTTTGGTCAAAGGCTTTTCTACTGTTCAATTCCGTTACTTTCATAAATATAGCTACACAACCCACTTTTATAGAAACATTATAAGTGTAATTATGAACAGACGAACTAGATCTGCAAATCCTCTCCTTTCCTGTGCTTAATGAAATCAAACTTATATGGGGAAGGAATTGCCATTAAACAATCCACCTCCAACCCTAATGATATGCAAGAAAATTCTAAAAAGACATTAAGCAAGAGTAAATATGACATTTTATTTACTGTGATAGCTACAGTCATTAAATATCTCTATGTAACATTCCTTTTCTAACTGCTGTCGCTCTTGCGTATTACTAGCTAGCTGGGTTCTTCTAAAGGTGGGTAGTGCAATCCTTGCAACTACTGTGACCACTTCATACAATAAGGCAGCTGAATACAATAGACTCCGACAAAAAGGCAGGGCGCTATGCCTATCAAACCGAAACTTCATAAGTACAATGTCCCATCTTCGACTTCCTGCATAGAGTAATTTTATTCCATCATACTATTATCTACTCTTGATACAAACCAGCTGCGACCTATTTTACTGTCACCGAACATACCTGCCTTTCCACATCCACTTTAATACATGTAAAGTTTCGACCCATCAATATCCAGAAAATGATTATCTAATGCTGTATACATGGCACAGGATACACCCACTATGAGATTATTACCTAAGTGTTTATAATGAGATTTGGTGGTATGGAAGGATTCCTATCTCCACTTGTGACTTCGAACGCCAGAGGTAGTGAGATAAAGAAAACAATTAATGAAAGAATTTAAATTATTGTGGAAATATATCTATATTAAATAAAGAAGGGCTATGCAGTGTGACATCTAACACCCTTGATGTCAGGTTTGGAAAAGCACTGCGTCAAAGACTGAAGTTAATGATAAGAGTCCATCCTGACGACGTATGTTCATGTGTCTAAGCAAGTGATAATGTATAGATGTAGATAGTTGCAAGCAGAAGAAGTCTTCTTTCAATCTGGTTGTGTTTGTTGAGACATAATCACATTTTGGAAGGATGCAATACAACATATATCGTTAGTTGCTCCTATTAGTAAAACTATTACTTATCACATACAATAAAAAAAACAAAGAAAAAGAAAACAAATAACAAATCATGTCGCAATATAAAAAAAAAAAAAAAAATACATTAACAAAACTATACCGTGAACAATTAAAATGTCTTGAACCTAATGTAAATATAAAATGTCAACTTTATTATTAAATTCAATATTTTCATTGTCGTACAGCAAACTTCTCTTCTGTTCTTATCTTACTCCATATGCCTCCAACCTCAGGAATAAAACGCGCTTCCACTGCGCTGCCGCTCCAGATCTCCTGGCATCCGACCAGAAAGTACAGGCTCAAGCGACGTGATGAAGGAGTTCCCTTGACGGAGAACCCTTTAACAGAGCGATCCTGATGGAGCCTCACCTTTTAGCGCTGGGGGACCGCCGGGTTACAGAACAATCCTCCGAGTCGTCCAGCGCTGCGTCCGAGGCTGGGCCGAAGGATGAGGGTGATCACCAAGGACTTTATCAAAATCCACAGCGAAACCTCAGACTGCCACAGAGATGAAAAGACCAGGTAACAGAGGGATGATAGGCTCGTCCCTCCTGCTTTTGTACACACAGAGGACATTATGGTAGAAGCAAACAAGGGCCACGAGGTGGTTTTACGAATTTAAGAACAAGCCATAAATGGAAGACGACTCATTGGGAGGTTCAGAATACGTGAATCTCTGGCAGCGCCTCAAATTCTATCACAGAGGAGATGCACCTTATTTCCCTTCGTTTCTCCTCCATCGTCATAACTTCCCCCCAAGGGTGCATTTTATGACAGGGCTCTCAACTACCCCATATGCACATAGATCAGGTGGTTAAAGGTTTGTACATATAAATTAAGGCCTTTTAAAGAACAATTGAAAGACCAACATACAGCTGGAGAAATTAGCGGGAGAGAGTAAAAAATATAAGTACTGATACTATCAGTGAATACAGAAGATTTCACTTCGTACATGGAGCCACAGACACGCTCTCACCGTCATACAACATCAAAACAATTCAGCATAGAAGTTACACACAGGAGAGCTGTGATGCACTGGATCAGTCGTTTGTCAAATGAACGCTGACTGTTAGAGAGATGTGTGTGTCGTCCATGTGATGGTTTAAATTAGAAAAATAAAGTTATTTTTATCTGATGACAGCGCAAGTTTTTAAGAAAAGCTATTCACCTGCAAGTAAAAGTGTAAATGGTGGTGTTTATGTGTGTGTGTGTGTTGTGTGTGTGAAAGCAGAAAAAGTGCTGCCTATTAAACAGTCATTTAGGTTTACTCACCCCAATTTTCACCAGACTTGTTTAATCCCTCTCTTGTCTCATCTGAGTTGTTTTAAACAGCTTTACGACATTCACTGTCAACTAAAACAGGCTGAGGCCAGGATAACAATGGCAAACTTAAAGCAACAAGAAACAGGTTAATATCTGTTTATGTGCCCATAGCACTATAATATAATTGTTTAGCAAATCCTAAGTTTTCCATTCTATCTACTTTAATATCTAGTATAAATATTCTGAGTGTGTTGTCCTCTGTGGAACATGTCTGAGCTTTTGGCCTAATGTTGTAATTTCTTGTGTTCTTTCCAACTAATACTTCTGATACGTTATTTTTCCCAAAAAAGATGTGAAGTCAGACGAATAACCACAACTATTTTTAAGAGATCTTAAAGAGTTGGCCAATTCTTTGCCAAATAAAAGTCAGACATCAGCCTTGACAACGCAGGCAGAGGAGGTTGATTAAGCCTCCATATCTCATAAAATGTGCTCTTCCAAGCACGTACATCCAATTCCTACGACACATTTATGCAGATATATCTTTTTACTAGCAAACCATAGCAACAGCGTCAATAAACATTAAAAACCGGTCAGATAATGAAGAATGGCCAATTATAAGAGAGGAAGTGAACAAGATTGAACTTTTCCAAACTCCAAAATAAACCAAATGTTGCAACAATTTTTTAAGCAGCAATGTTGGTGCTTCCCAGAAAGCTCAAGTACAACTTTGGTCAATAAATCAAGTTTTAAAACCTTTGCTCATTGTTTGAAAATATCACTGCATGGGAAAACATGACCTAAGTTGTCTAAAGCCAATTAAAATGCTTCTTTAAAGGAAAGACCAGAGAGAGATGTGGATTCATTA